CCTCTGGGCTAGAACCCTTCCCCTTCGCAGGGCGCCTCTTAAACTGTCTAGAGTCTAAGCGGTGTCTTGGCTTGAAGATCCCAACCCTAACACCTCCGTTTGTTGGCTCAGCCAGAGACTGGCCCGAATGTCCTGTGTCCATCCTGCTCATTCTCTGCTGCTATTGATCCTGAATCATTTCAGAGAACGAAAACTCTCTCCCAGGGAGGTGACCCATCCAGAGGAATCTGAGCAGATTGTAGAGCATTGTGGGAAATGGGTTTGTCAACGGGGCCAGGGCCACCGAGGGCAGCAGCTAGGGACATGTATAGAACAGTTGCTTTCTGCTTCATGGACAGTCACCTGTTTGACCCAGGCTGGAGTGTCCCAGCTAGATAACAGCATGCAGTGTGGGCTTGAAGCAGACAGGGAAGCACACCCAGGGTGCCGCCAATTCTCTCAACCATGGCGTGTGCCTGGCCCTGACGGAGGCCCAGTCACTAAGTGCAAAGCTGTAAATCCAGACTGGGCTGGTGTGACTCCCGAGCAAAGCCATCCCTGGAGAGGTAGGTATGTGCATGCGCACACACGCCTGTAGACACGGGCTCTCTTTTTTCTTGGGAATCTGAATGGGTTTTAGCCAAACGTAAATGTTTGGTTTAAGCTCCATCACGAGACATTTCAGCTAAGAAGATAACTGGAGCGGGGGGGGGGGGGATTAGAATGGAAGAGACTTCTCCTATAGGACTGTAGTGTGGCAATCATCACACCATCAGCTGCATCAAGATGCTTTACCATTTTTAATTGAAAATGTTTTCGCCTATTTATATTTTGCTTCCAAGACACTGTCTTTCCCGTGCCAGCCCTTCAGCATCAGAGTGGGAAACAGCAAGGTCCTCTGTTGCCTGTATGCATCTGCTAGGGTAGAGGCTGATGCAACAAACTTCTCTCATTGATTCCTTTCTGTGCTGATCTATTGGAAACTGGGATCTGTCTGATTGTCTATTTAAAACTTCAATGTGAATGGCAGGACTGATGTGGTCTTGACACTGGATATGGTCTTATGCCCTAGCTGGACAACATACCCGCCTGGCATTTGGGCTGGGTTTTTTGTCCATGATCTACAGAAGATGTAGGCCACCGGCAGTGCTGAAATGAGAGGTTTCTCTCTCTCTCACTGTGGCCCTTCCCCACTGTTTTATGGCCCAGTAGAAGTCACTGGGGCTGGATCGAGTGGATTTGTAGAAGCTCAGCTTACAGGATGTAACCTCAGGGCCTGGGGGCAGGAGCACCTCCTGTTGCCTCTTTTCTGCCCCACCTGGCCCATTAAAGGAGTGGGGTTGCCCAGCTCTGGAGGCAGGTAGGAGAGGATCCCAACAGAATCTCAATGATGAAGTCCCTGTGTCTCTGGCTGAGTCAAACGCTTTCTCCATTCTCAGTCTGTAGCAGCCCATGTTCATCACAGCTCACAGGCTTGAAGGTCTCAGATGGATGCCTGATGTCACATCTCTGGAACCCCAAGTGATTGTTTCCCGTTTGATGGGGGATGCTGTTGTTCAGGAGGAGCCCTTTGTATAGAGGGGGCCTCCTCGTCCATGCAGAGAGCCTGTCCCTTGGAGTGTAAGGTGTACCTGGCCTCCCCCACTCCCAGGGCCTCCAGGATTCTGGAGAAATGGCCACCGCTTCCACATTCTTTTGTGGCTGCTCTGGCTCTAGCATCTTGGCAGCGTCTGAGCTGGAATCTCTTCATCGCGGAGGCAGAATCTGACCCGGGCCCAAGAGAACACGGAGGTGGAGGTAGCATTTCCTGTTTTTCCTCCTCCTGGGACCCAGTCAGTGAGCAGGTCTGGCCTGCCTGGAGGCAGAAGTCTCTGCAGGCCTGGGGTCTCAAGTGATGAATTACAAACTAGATGTTTCTAACTCCTTCTCAAGGGCCTGAGTCAAGAAATGGGGGAGGAGAGATTACTGGAGCCTTCCCACTAACAAGGCATGTTCCAGTCCAGCAAGGACAGAAAAATACCCCTTCAGCAGAGGTGGGACGTGGGCATCCTCGAGGTCTGACCTTCTATCCCCAGAGCCTGGGAGCAGGGTTTCACTCTGCTGGGACGCAGCCCTGGCCAGACTTCAACTCACATACCGTTTCCACTGATCCCAACTGGAGCCAGTGTGGGAGCCTATAGATAACTCATGCCACTGTTGCTGCTGGGTCTGGGGGCTCCATGCCTGAATGTCTCCTGCTAGCTCTGCTCCCCTGGGCAGTGCTCTCCTCTCTAGGGGCGTGGGTTTTGTATGTTTTGATTTCGCTTTGTATGTGGGTGTTGGGGGGCTGTTCCTTTGGTGACAATCAGTTTGTACTTGTGTATATTCAGAACATTTTATATGGCAGAGAATATTTTATACAAAATGTTGTAAATAAAAAATTGTTTTGAAAGTTTGGACTTGTTAAAATGGGAAAGAAACTCAGCATGGAGTGCTGTCTGAAAGCCCTGCTTAGGAGCTGTATCTCCAAAGGAAAGGGACAGGGACAGGTAGTGAGGCCCCAAAATGTACATGTTCAGCCCTGCCAGAGTTGAGTCCTTTTGGATCCTCAGTGACCCACACAACACTGCTCAGACCTAAATTACAGAACTGACTTCTAAGAGATCTGGGTTCAAACCAGGTAGCCATTGTCCTCTTGAGGGATTGACCAGATGATCAAAAATGTGTGTGTCTGTGTGTCCCTGGCTCTGGAAATTGTGATGGTTTTGGCAGAAAGTTTGAATATTGAACAATTTTGGGCAAAAGCTGCAGCCTTGGAAGGTCACTGTGGTGCATTGTGTTCCCATTCTCCTTTAGAGGTCAGGCTGCCTTGTTGGACTGCATCTCCCAAGGTCCACCGAGGTCTCTGTTCTGGGAGAGGGGAGGCAGAGCATCATGGGAGATGTAGTCAGGCCAGGGAGCTCAGCCCATACAGGGGAACAAGGCACCATTTCCAAATTGAAATGTCCTTTTTCAGACCTGTCTCTTTTCTGAGAAATCCAAAACTTTCCAGAAAAAACAGCCATTTCTCACAACTATCTTCACTGAATTCTCCCTTTGCCATCAAACACTGTTTTGACAGGAAATTTGTTGACCAGTTCTAGGATTTGATAGTAATGAAGCAGTAGCAGTGGAGGTAACAGGTTTGTGAGTAGAGAAAGGGGGTTTCTGCTAGGCCCCTCTAAACATTCTCCCTAGGCCAAGCTCAGATTCCCTCTGGGCAGATTGGGTTTGGGGGTGGGTGAGTAGAGCACTGGCCCTTTAAAAGACCTCAGAGGAAGCTGTCCCCTCCCCCCTGTGGGTTAATAACCCAGCTTTCCTGGCTCTGTGCGATGAAAGCAGTGAGATTTTTTTTTTTTAACTGCAGGTTGATGCTGCCTGACAGGCTGAAGGCCTTGTGCTGGCATTGCTAGCTTCCACAGGCAACAACTGGTACTATTTCCCCAGGCAGAGCTCCCTCCACCCAGGAGGCTGTGCATGGCTGACCCAGCACTGCCTCCAGCAGCAAGATTGGAACTGGTGTGAGTTACAGAAGATTCCTGTGCATGCAGGGAAATAGGTCTATAGCTCCCCCGGAGCTTGAAGAGGCAGCCCCCAGCCCCTGGGGTATTAGTGCTGGGCTGTGCGGGGTTACAGCTAGTCCCAGCACTTAGCTTAGGGGATATTTAATATCCATTTCTGCTGGGGGAGGCAGCTCCATGTTTTCTACACTGTTAGCTTGGAGGAACTGGGTGAGGTAGAGCAGCCCCCTCCCCCCTGGGCAGAACTCCCACAACCTCATCTGTGGAGATAGCAGGCAGGGGCAGTGATCATCTAGAGAGGGCACTGCCCCACACAGGCTCTTCAGGGATGAGCCTTCATCCTAAAGCATGGTAGAGACCTCACCCCTTGCCCCTGAATAGCAGCAGTTAGGCAGGGAAGAGACAAAACCAGTAACTCAGTTCCCCTGGGGGGAGTGGAGGGAGAAGAATTACTCAGGTTGGCTTCAAATGGGCAGAGGGACTCCCTGCTGAGGTGCAGCCCTTTCTCTCACCCCCCCTCCGCAGAGCCCAATACTGCATCTTAACAGGGAAGATCAAAACCCTCCCTGCAGCTGTGACTGACTCAGAGCACCTGGCACTGGGCTAGGCAGCGTTTCTGGGGGGATCTGTGACAGGCAGGCCATGGTGAGTTCTTTGAGAGGTATCAGGGCCTAGTCCCACAGCTGAATTGTAGCACTTCTGGAAGCCATGCTAGGGGCTACAGGTACAGCAAGAGCCAAAGCCCGGGTGATGTAAGACTAGGAGGGACAGGGGCCCTCCTAAAACCCACCCTGGGATGATTTGTACCCATCCTGGTCTCTGTCACTCCTGCAACATCCCCCCAAGAGGTGAGGTGGGGCCAGGCCTCTTCCTGTTCTTATGGGGACAAACACCAGCAATACAACAGCCACCAGGGTGCCTAGAGGGTGAGAACTACCTCAGTTCCTGTGCCTGCCCTAGAACTAACAGCAGGGTGCTTGTCCACACACACACACACACACACACACACACACACACACGACGAGG